TGGCAAGCAGCAGCCCTCTCATACCCACTACAAGGCAGCAGCCCTTAGCCAGCTATAAAGATGCCCTGTCTGAAGCCCCCTGAAGGAAAACATCATATTGCACTTAGGAATCTTGGTTTACTCTTCTATCCTGAAGTAACAGAAAACCAAGATCATACTAATCATTTCTGAGAAATGAGAATGAGCTGTGGAAAATTAAGTTTCAGGAGAGGGGTCCAAACTGAGGCTTAAGGGAATGCTTGCAGTTTAATGCTTTTTAGAAACAGGCTCAAATGCTGGGAAACAGCAGCATACAGAACTACTCTGCTAGCCTGCAGAAGGCCAAGTTGAGGGAATTCTCTTGGAGGCCCAATTCTATGCTAAGCAGGACATTCTGGGAGAAGCATTGTGGATCTGAAGTTGCCTTGACACACTGGGTTAAAAAAAAGTGGGTCTTTTCAACCACATCAGTACATATGAGTTAGCCCCATAGTCTTTTAATACACATGGAGAAATGATGTCTACATGGCTTTTCATTGCTTTCCCAATCTCCTCCCAACCCATCCACACCCTCATTCAGGCAGATTAACATGTTTCCATTTGTCTGAATGAGTCAAAATTTATGCCAAGTGAATAGTAAAGAATAAAATATCACATAATTTTAGAAGGATAGAATAGCAGAGCTAAGAAGTTTATCTAGTCAAACCCTTTCACTTTACAGATAGATAAACTGAGGTACAGAGAGGTAAAGTGCCTGCTCAAAGTCACAGAGTAAGTCAGGGGCACAAGTTGTCTAGCTCCTAGTCACTGCCTAGTTAGTATTACTGAGATCACCAGCCCATTGGGATCCACATTTAGACTTAGAATGAGCACTCGAGGCTACTGGACAGTGAGCTAGGGATCCAACTTCAATTGGCTACTCCAGCTCAAACAAGCATCCCCCTGGTTGGCTTCCAAGTACCCCAACCTCTCCTCCTCATCCCCTCCGGTATGAGTCAAGGTCTCAGTTTGGGACCCAGCTTGGTTGGAGAGGAGTCAGAGGAGTGACTTGAAAGATGCCTGGCCAATGGCCCTGTGACCCAAAGCGCCATAGCAGGCTCTGAGCCAACCTTCTCTGGACAGTAAGCAAAAGCCTTCAGCCAAAGGCAAGACATTGGCAGATTTGCTCAAAAGACGCCTGGCTCTCAAAGTCAGCAATTTAGTTGTCAGCCCAGTGAGACACTGAACTAAGCAATGAAAGCCCCTAAAATGTGGAAGAGAAAGATAGCTTAAACTGTCCCTGGCCCCATCTATCTTTGGGACTCTTTGCCCAAAGGCAGATTGTATCATTTATCCCATGCCTAGAAAATTATGTCTCCATCAGAGTGGCCCATGAGCCTGAACTATCTTGTGCCCAATAATGAACCTTCCTGACCATTATTACCCCTCTCCCCAGGTGGTGAGAGACACAGCCCCACCCTCCTCACCTGGGAGCCTACAAGGGTCATGCTTATAAACTGCCCAGGAAAAGATGCCTCCCATCATATATTATGGCTCAGTGCTAGACTGGCAGTCAAGGTGGAAAGTGCAGGGTACTGGGTTTACTCTGGAGCACGTTCAAAAAGGCCTAAGCTTGGAGACAATGTTAAAAACTCTGACTTGTTCCGCCTTGTCTTCTGGACCCCCAACCCTAACCTTGCCCCAGCTCCAACTCATTTAGGGTTCCAGTAATGACCTGAGGCCTGCAATCAATGCTACCTTGCTCTTTCTTTCCTCCAAAATGCTTCCCTCTCATGCCAGGAAGCCATGATATACTTTCCACCGAATTGTTGGGTTGCCCATGTCCTGTTTGCTGCTTGGTCTGGGTTGGGGGAATTCCCAAATTTCCCACAAGCTCTACAAAAGTATAGGCTCATTTCTCTCTTGATTTTTTTCATTTTTCCCTAAATCGGACCTTGGTCACCTGCCTCCATCTCAAGAACCTTTTGTCTGCCAGTCATCCCAGGCCTAAGGCCCAGGGAAAGTTGGTTTCCTTTTCAAAATGGGTGAAGAGAAAGGACAAGATACATTGCCACCATAGAATTGTATGCACCACAGAGTTCACAAAGACTGGACATTGCATGCTCTAGAATGGCCTGCATTCCACTTCCCTTCTACTCTCCATGGCTTTTTCACATGACCAGAGACCCCTCTGATGTGGAGTTAGCTCCCAGACATCAAAACAACCTTTCTCTGGGGCACACTCACAATAGTCTCAGTCATCTGCAGAGCCTTATACCCATTAAGCCAATCAGCACAGCTTTAGGACTGTGAAGATATTAGGCCTAGCCAAAGAGAATTTGGGTTGTGGGGTGCCTCCAAATATTAAATTCATAGATTTCTAGAGATGTAAGCCATGTCAGACGTTAATAGAAATGGACAATGCACCAACCTCCTTGACTGTGGGAGTGTATATTCTACGTTCCTCAGAATGGCTATTGGGCAAACACTGGCTGACAAATATCTTAGCAAGCTTCTACTGGCTTATTCTATCCCTTTGAGACACCAGTGCTGTGGCATAGGTAGCTGAGAAATTTTGAGTAAACTGCAGAAAGTGTGTGGAGACAGAGGCACATTTGGAATCTCAGGACCTGAATGGTTGCTTGGCAAAGCTGAGGGGCTCAAGAAAGGTAGTGGTGAGGATGAGATTTTCTAGGAACTCAGGAGTGTATTGGGGTGTTCTTGACTTTTTTAAAATAAAAACTGAGGTGTTTCCCAGAGTCTCCAGTATCAAAAATAACTTTCATGAATTCAAGACACATACAGCAAGGACCCAAGCCAAAGTAGTCTGTGACCCTGGGGACATACCAAATTCCTCTCTGTCCTTTCCTGACCTATACTCACCATAACTTAAACTGGTAACCCCAGCCCCTCAATGCATCTAGTCTGTGTCAGAACACACACCAACCACACCTCTGCACAGCTCACTGCTACCCCCCCTTCCCAGCTGCACTGTGAGGTCTTGACCGGAAAGTCTCAGCCAGCCCTCCCCCTGAGTCCCCTATGATCACCTACTTTGAAGTTTGTTCCCCAGCAGTGAACCTCTTCCTGGTAAAATAGTGGTTTTTCCAAGTTTTATTACACACTCCTAAGGCCCCAGCTCTAGGCCTGCTCACATCACATGAATGCCAGGGCCTAGCTTCAGCCCATCCCCCATTACCTCCCATGAAGTTTTACCCAGACTTTGCCACTGACCCCGAAGGCCAACAGCTTGCCTTTAACCACAGGGCAATGCTCAGCAGGTGCCCTCCAAGGTAACCTAGGCAACAGCCAGAGGCCCTACACTGGCTTCCTTCCCAAGAGCCCCTGAACTGCATCAAAGCAGGGAAAATGTAGTCCCAGGGGTGAGTGTGACAGTGACCTTCCGCCCAAATGTTGTTCCACACAGTCAGGGACCCCCTCCACTCAGGCGTCAACGCAGCCTGGGCAGTCCTGAGATTGCCTTGGACAGCCATTGCAGCACACTTGAACTTTCAAGTGGGGCCCGCACACTAGAACGCCGATGGATCACAAGGTCAGAGGCACCAAGAGTCCCAAAACCTCTTAAAGGGCAGCCTAGCAAACTAAAAAAAGAAAAAAGAGAGTCCTTGGTTGAGAGCCTAGGAGAGGCCCTCTAAGGGCTCAGGGAATCCACAGGTGGATGCCCCCAGAATTCAAGGTTTCTATTCACTAAATGATCCCCAGGCTCCCTCAAAGAGCAGCAGAAGTACGTGTTTGGGGTTGGAGAGAGGAGGGAACCCTTCAGTCCCAGGGCAACACTTATTCTGAGCTGCGTTTTAAAAAGCCACGTATTCTAAGCTGCAAACTTGCGGCGGGTCTCCAGTGGAGCTGTCCTGAGGAACCACAAGAGGGAGTGAGCCTTGAGGAAGACGGCATCCCAAGCCCCTCGGCTCGCTCCCGAGACTCCTCATGAGAACGGCTGAGGGGCTTCGCCGGCGGCTTGCTGAGAAAGCGGGATGGCTACTTTGACTTCTCCAAGTCCACAGGCAGGCTCAACAGGAGGAGCGCACAAGCCTGTGGTCCTGTGGCCGCGGGCCTGAAGAGCGAGAGCTATGCCCCCAGCCCTGCTTGTCTTAGGGAAGAAGACCAAGTCAGCACCACACGAAGGCAGGAGGGGTGGAGGCCGGCATTCCGGCTAAAGACTAACGAGGCACCCAGCGGATAGCGGAGAGGCGCGGGGCGCCAGGCAGGGCAAGGCTGAGATTGGGGGCGGTGCGAAGTGAGCCTCAGGGCCCAGTCTGCCAGCCGCCTCACGCCTCTCTGGCAGGAGACCGCGGAGACTGCCTCCCTGCCTGCTTTGGGGTTCAGCTCAGAGGGCACAGAGATCCGCTCGCTCCCTCAGAGCGGCAGAGGACGGCCGGGCCCGGTTGGGCCGTAACCACGGCGGGCAAATAGACGCGCGCACACCCCCCACTCGCACTCCTTCCCTCCCTTCCTCTCTCTCCTGCAGATACACACGCCTGCCATGTGCTAGAGTCTTCGCTCAGTCACCAGGATTCCTAGTGTTTTTGACAGAAAACACCTCCGCTCCCCGTACAGGAACAGGGGCTGCTGCGGAGATCTGCGGTACAGTGTTTCTCTCAAAGTCCTCCCAACCTCCAAACTCTCTCCTCTCCCCATGTCTTCGCACTCCCCCCCAAAACAAAAAACAAAAAAACCACAACATTCTGCAAATATTTTCCCCCAGTACACACGCTCAGAGTACTTTAAATAAACCCGAAAGGTGCGTCTGGATATGTCCCAGAGCAAAAAATTCATTCCTTGCGTATGATCAACGAAGGTCCCAGGTCCCACCCCCGGGACTTCTTGCGCCTAGTCTCCACAGCCGAGGCTGCCCAGAGCCCGGCAACCGGCGCTCTAGCAGCGCCACGGGCAAGGGGCAAGGGGGAGGAGTCCAAGCGGCGCGCTAGAGGGGTGCCTCGGACCAGGAGGTATAGGATCGGCGGCAGCCGGAGCGGACACCCTTGCCTAGAATGCCAGGTGGGGCGCGCGGAGCCGCTCACCTGCTTGGAACTCCACTTGGCGATTTTTCTCTCTTTCCTCCTGCAGCAACATGGAGTAGAGAATCCCGAAGGAGTTCTGGATGCCAAAGATGGAGCCGTTGCACCAGGTGGCAGCGAAGACCACCATCCAGCCGAAGCCACCTTCGGGGGGCTGGAAGCCGCGCGCGGTGCCGCGGGTCTCCACGGTGGGCGTGGGCTCGGGTTCGCGCACCGGTTCAGGCTCAAACTCCAGCTCTGGCAGTGGTGCAGGGTCCGGTAAGGGCTGGGGCTCCGGCTGGGGCTCTGGCTGGGGCTCGGGTGGGGGTACTGGCACGGGCTCGGGCTCCGGCTCCGGCTCTGGCTCGGGGCTACCCACCCGCTCCTGCTGTTCCTGGTCTGCCTCCCGCCAGGGCCCCTTAGCTTCCTCGCTCGCCGGGCTTTGCAGCGCCATCGCGGCCGGGGGACTGTGGCTTCTCGGGCCGGAGGAGCCGCTGTGTGGCTGGTACTTGTTTCTGCTGCTGCTGCTCCAAGCGCTGCTACTGCTGCCTCCTCCTCCCGGCTCCGCGCCCCAGCTGGCCAGCCTGTCCCGAGACAGACAGTCCCTCGAGCCCTCTCCTCCTCCTCCCCCATCCCCCCTCCTCCTCTCCCCATGTCATCTCTCTCCTCCCCCTCCTCCTCCTCTCCCTTCCCCCCAACCTCTTCCTCCCTCAACAGGCAGCCGCTACAGCCTCTCTCTTCTCCCCAGCCCTTCCTCCTCCTCATACTCGCCTACCTACTCAATCCGCAGCTGTCTCCCTCAACTCCCTTTCCAAACTACTGAATTCTTTTCTCCTTGTCCAGAAGACCAGTAGAGGGATAGTTAAAATGGAAAAACGAGAGCATAAACTATCCTGTTCCTCTTCCCTCTCCTCCCTGCAGGCTCCAAACGAGCATTGATCAACCCAGAACCCCCAGGGAAGACCCCGCCTGTCCTTTGCTCCCACTCTCTCCTTTCTCACAAGTAGCCTGGAACTGGGGTGGCTCCAGGGACCCCAGGACGAGAGGTGGCCCTTGAGAGACCCCACCCCGCCCTCAGTAGTGCCTATGCCCCCCCTTGGGTTTGAGGGGGACTTGGAAGGGACACCCAAGCTCGGACAGAGGGTGGGCACAGTCTTCTCGAGCCCGGGGGCTCAGCCCCCCACAGTCCTGCGCAACAGCCCCCCCATCCCCGTCTCTCCCCCTCCACCCCCGCCCTTCCCAGCAAATCCCTGGCGGGGCACGGATGGGAGGAGGCGGCCCGGCAGCGAGGCCCGCCTCTCCGGGCAGTCAATCAGGGCTTTGTTTGCGCCAACCTGGAGCCCAGAGGAGCCGTAGAGGGCCGGGTCTGGGCCGGGGGCCGGGCCAGGTAGGGAGGGAGGTGCAGTGGCACCGGAGGGAGCCGGGCCCGGGCGGGGCGGGAGCCAGAGCTCAGCTCAGGCTCCTCCCGGCTCTCTGTCCCGCATTGGGGAACTGGGAGTCAGGGCCATGTCGAGCCGCCAGTTCGGGCAAGGGCCGCTCAGCCCGCAACATCCCAGCTGGGTTGGTCCCCCGGGCCTCCGCCGCGGCTTTTCGGGCGCTCGGGAACTCGGCCGAGGCGCTAGCGGAGGGATGTCTTCCCAGCACCCACCGCGCCCTTCCGCCCACCTCGGGCATAGAGACACAAGAATCCCGGTGAATGTCCCAGACTAAGGCCCTAACCCCGCGAGGGTAAGGGAGAGTTTGCTCCCTACGGAGTGCGCGGCTCTCGGGAGACGGGAGGGGTGATCTGCCCTGCGGGCGGCTGGGCTCCCTGACGCAGTGCACGGCTGTTTCCAGCCTCAGCCCTCGGGGCCGGCCCCAGCGATCCCGGGAAGCTCTGCCTCCCCTAAGGGCCCGCGCGTCTAATGCACTAATCATGAGTTCGTGGTGTGGTTACCAAGCTACTTCGCTCCCCACCAGCGGGCGGGCAAGCGCCAAGCCCTTTCTACCCAGCATCTCATTAACCTTCTTGCTGGGTGAAAAGACTGCATGGCAGGTGAAAATGCAGCTCAGGGCTGTGACATGCCCAGGAACACAGTCATTAAGCACCTGAACGCGGGCTGAGCTGAGCGGGAGGATAGAGGTGTCGCAAGTAGCTTGCCATGCCGTGAAAGGAATCGGCCATAATTCACAAATCACGGGGGCCATGCCAGTCAGCAAAGCAGGCATTGCTAGAGGAATAGAGCATTCCCTTATTGCCCGGAGGTGAGTATTTTTATCACCTGCTTTTTCCAAGCAGGAAGGCAGAGGCTCAACGAAATCAAGGCGTTTATTAGCCGAAGGTCCTGGGAAAAGTCAAGTACAAGGTGGAATTCAAGGCAAAGCCTCGTGCTCCCTGAGCTTCACCACAGGCGGCTGGGGCTTGGTGCTCCCCGGAAGAGGGACAGAGGAAGGAAAGGCAGGATGTGGCTGAGTTATCACAGTAGGCTTCCGGAGCACATAGTGGCCTAGATGGGCCTTGAATCTTGAGAAGGATTTTAACAGGCTGGGGGTGGAGGTTGGGTGTCCCTACCTAAGAAGGACAAAACAAAGAGGCATGGAAGGACTCTACTCATAGAAAGAGGTAAGTGAAAGCTAATCAGGCCAAAAAGTTAATATGTATGCTGCCTCTCCCAGGAAACGTTTGCATTTTAATAAAAATCCACAATGCTTCAGTCATGAGGAGTGACAAATCATGGACAGTATGGGCACTGTGGCTTAAGATTTGCTTTTTAGTCAGCGGTTTCACAGGACCAACTGTTGCCCTAGGGGAGCACTAGCCTTGGCTTCCATTTTCAGGGAACCTGATTAAGACCCTGAAAAGGGCTATTTCCAACCCCAGAACCAGGAATAGACCCTGAAGTCTTGAAGCCCATCTCGGACTCCTACTGTCTAAATTCTGTTCTAGTTTGAATGTCTTTTTTAGAGCACTGGAGTGGGGGGTGTGATGACACTCACTGAGAAACTCTTGTGAGCCTAGCACTATGCTAGCCCTTTACAAACATGATCTCATATAATCTTCATAACAATCCTATAAGATTGGGATGATTTGTCCCTGTCTTATAAGTGAGGAAACAGAGGCTCTGAAAGGTTAACTCAGTTGTTTAAGTCTACAAAGCCATCAAGAGGCAGAACAGGAATCTTTGCTCATTTGTGTGAGCTTCAAATTATATGCTCCATCCAGGAAACAAGATTGCATAATTACCATCCCACCATTCTAGAAACACATGCAGTACCTTCCATTTTTTCCCTTTTAAAAAGGCATTTTATAATGGCTAGAGCACTGGCATCAAGAGACCTGGATTCTAATCATGGTTCTACCATTGCATACCTGGGTGATCCTAAGAAAGTTGTTTACCCTTTCTGAGGTGCAGTTTCTTTATCTGCAAGATGGAGTTAATACCCACTTCACAGTTATTAAATAGTATACTGAGAAGTATAGGCTTTATTTTGGAAATACAAGAGAGCCACTGAAGATTTTCGAGTAGCTAACTAATATCAGATCTGCATTTTAGAAAAAAAACAAAACAAAACTGTGGTGACAGTATACTGTGGCTTGGAAAGATAAGAGGTAAGGAAACCAATGAACCGGGTAAAAGAAAATTTCATGATCTGGAATAGGGCACTGACTGGGGATGAAGAAAAAGGGTTGGCCCTGTGAACCATTGTTATGGTACAGCTGACAAAAACAGATTTGGGTAGTGAGAGAAAATAAGAAGCAAAGATGATGCTGACATCTCTTGCTCAAGTGAAGGAAAGGATGGTCGTAGTGTTAGTGAGGATTGGGAATTAGGAGCCAAATCAGGTCTGAAGGTGCCTGTGGCTGTCTCTTCTCCTTCCAAACAATCCTGTCAATTACAACTTTAAAATACAGTTTTAATCATGACACTTCTCTGCTTTAAAAACTTTCAGTGATTCTCCATTTGACTGTTAAGTTTAAATTCCGCAACCAGGCATAAAAGGTCCTTTATGGTTTGGGACCAGCCTCATTTACTAAGAACCTTTATGTGCCAGGCTCTGTACTAAATACCAAGGACACAAAAAGACCTGGTACCTGTCTCTGAGGTACTCATATTCAACCTGTCTAGTTCCATTCTTTGACATTTTCTCCTTTCCCCTTTCTCCCATTCATGCCAGGTTCTAAATATACTGGATTATCCACCATTCCATGATGTATGGACACCTGCTGTTCTCTCATCCCTCACCACCCATTCTCCTCACTGTCTTCCAGTTGAGATTCTAATGCCTTTCCTGAATCTCCAGAGTGAGTTCAACAAAGCATATAGGAGGGTTAGTCTTGAACTGGGGAGATATGCCTCTTGCCTTTGTCATACCATTCAGTCATTCATTTTACAAATAGTTATTGAGCAACTACTGTGTGCCAGTCACCATGTCAAGCACTGGGAACATACAATTGTCCTTGTCCTCATGGAGTTTACATTCTAGTGAAAAACATTAATAATTATAACTACCATTTGTTGAATTTGACTCCACTAGACTGGGTGAAGACATTTTGAGATTGAGGAAAAAGGAAGAGAAGGATGTAAAGGATGAGACAACATTGAGAGTGAGGTGATAGAAGTAGGGCTAGGGTCTTGAGATGAATGAAGTTTTCTCTACAAATTTCTAGATCAGACTTGGTTGACAAATATCATCAGTAGTAACAAATCATTAGAGAGCACCTAGTATGTGTAGACTCATTCAGTTTGGCTCATGCTCACAAGTAAGTGATGTGTGGCCCCTGTAAACTCTTTAAATTATTGTACTTGTCTGACTGTGGATCTTAGAAAACCCCAGTGAGGTCTCTGGTTTACACTGCAAGTGAAAGAATGTGCTTTATTTTTGTCCCAAACAGAATAAGCGCACAATGGAATCATTCTAATTGCTTATGTTCTTGATTAATCATACAAGTGGTGAAGCAGAGCAGTGGTTCCTTAACCTGGTTACACATTAGAATCACCTAGAGACTTTTGTACAAGTTCTGCCTCCTGGGTCCCACTCCACACTTGCTGAATCAAAATATCTGGGGGTGGGAGCCAGGAATACATAGTTTTAAAAAGGCTCCCAGTAATATTGATGCACTGCCAGGTTCTGAAACCACTAGACCAAAATAATAATAACCGAAAATTTGGATCTCAAAGACTTGAACAATTTCTCTAAAATTTCTCCCCAAACTTTGGGAACCAACATAAGGATGTTAACTTTTAATGTTGCCATGTAAGGGCATGTATCATCACTATTATATCATTAATGAAATGATGTTTTAACACTGAAATATAGAAAATGTAGAAAGGACATAGTCTTTTACTGAGGAAAGTCTTTCTCAAGAAAGGTCAGTTGGCAACAATTTTTCTCAACATTTCTCTGATGAAAATGTCACAGACTGCCATGGGTCTGCAGGTTAGTGCTTGGGACTCACTGGTCCAGATGACCTCTGAAAGCCTTTTATCCCTGATGTTCTCTATTTAGGTCAAATGTACTTCCTTGCTTTGGGCCTCTCCTATTTTTCGATAGAAGTCTCAGGCTAAAGTGGAACTTAATAGGTCATTCTCATCATCCCCCTGTCCTGCGCCTAAATCATCCTAACTACTTGAGAATGGATGACATATTGAGAACTTTCTCAAGAAGGT